CATCTGACAGCAATGTGGATTCTGTGAGTGGAGGCAGATCGCGAGAGGGAGGGTGGGAAGGGTTGCCTCAGGGCTTAGTTCTTGGGGTCCTTCCTTACATGCCCAGGGAAATGCTGATTGCCACGTTGGGGTCAGGAAGCAGTTTTTCTCCAGGCCAGTTTGGCCGGGGATCCCGGAGGTTTTTTGTCATCTTCTGGGCATGGAACAGGGGTCACTGAGGGTGTGGAGGGGAGGAGGTCGTTGTGAATTTCCTGCATTGTGCAGGGGGTTGGACTAGATGACCCTGGAGGTCCCTTCAAGCTCTATGATTCTAAGCTTTTGAGAGTCAAAGTTTCTTTTCTCTGTTGAAGGGAGCGTTGACTCGCGGAAAGCTCATGCCCTGAAAATCTTGTTGGCCTCTAAGGTAGTAAAAGGTAAAGGTAAAGGTTCCCTTACTCGAAAGCCAGTCGAATCCGACTCTAGGGTGCTCATCTCCGTTTCAAAGCCGAAGAGCCAGCGCTGTCCGAAGACTTTTCCGCGGTCATGTGGCCGGCATGACTAGACATCAAGGTGCACGGAACGCTGTTACCTTCCCACCGAAGCGGTACCTATTTATCTACTTGCAATTTCTTGCTTTCGAACTGCTAGGTTGGCAGACTGGAGCTCACTCCGTCATGCGGCAACTCGGGTCTCGAACTGCTGAACTACTGACCTTCCACAGCCTGCAGTTCAGCGTCTTAACCACTTGAGCCGCCACAGCTCCTTCTAAGGTAGTACTGGACTTGAATCTAGTCTATCTCAGTACAGGTGCTGATTTTCTGCCTCTGACTATGATACAAGGACTTCTGGATCTCCATTCTTACTTGTCTCTGACGAAGGGCGCTTTGACTCTCAAAAGCTTATCCTCCCCCCCAAATCTTGTTGGTCTCTAGGGTGCTACGGCACTTGAATCTAGACCCTCCAAAGCTGCCATTTCGCCATGGGAGCAGATCTTTGTAGTCCGATCCCTTCTAATTCTAGGCGGCCTCCGGCAACCCTAGTCATGCGTCCACCTCTTTTCCCAAACGGCGTTCCAGCTCAGAGAATGACAAGATTTTTGGCTGTTCATCTCCCCTGCCAGGAAGAAGCCTTCAGGAAGACTTGCCCTGGTTCTGTGACACTTTGATTAATTAGCCGAAATGTGCTAAACATGCTGCAGATTAAAAGCGTGGAGGCACTAGGCGGTGTTGTTATTTGCAGCTTCCCCGGGCGAGATGCCTGCTGCGTGCTCTCACACTGCTGCCGAGAAGCACGTGACCGCACCCCACAGAGACCTGGAAGCTTCCGTGGCTGCTGTCATAAACAGGCACCGTAGAAGAGTGGCGGATTCAAAATGGCCGCTCAGCTCTGCCAAGAAGGAGGCCAGAGTCGAAATCTAGGACACTGTCAGGAGAGAACAGGACGAATATGAACTTCCCTTTTACTTTTTACTTTTAAGCACCCCTTTTAAGCTGCGGTGGCTCAAGTGGTTAAGACGCTGAACTGCAGGCTGTGGAAGGTCAGTAGTTCAGCAGTTCGAGACCCGGATGCCGCAAGACGGAGTGAGCTCCTGTCTCTAGTTCCAGCTCCGGCCAACCTAGCAGTTCATAAATAGGTACCACTTCGGTGGGAAGGTAACAGCGTTCCGTGCGCCTTGGTGTTTAGTTATGCCGGCCACATGACCACGGAAATGTCTTCGGACAGCGCTGGCTCTTCGGCTTTGAAACGGAGATGAGCATCGCAACCCTAGAGTCAGACTCGACTGGCTTTCGAGCAAGGGAACCTTTACCTTTACTTTACCCCTGTTTACCCTCAGTGGAGAACTGATACCTTAGGGAAGATTTTCAATACTTTTGTCCTCAGAGGAGCATTTTCACTTCAGATAAGGATTTAAGTGGCTTTGTTTCCTCCTCTGAGAAGAACTTTGTCTTCTGAGATGAACTGAAGGAAAACAATTATTTCTTTTTTTTTAAATTTAAGCAGTGATATGGTGCTTTCCCCCCCAATGGGAACACAAACAGTGTAATCCCAAAAACTCTTTCCTGAAATTGAACCCCATTGAATAGACATTAGTATGCTTTTGAGTACACCCGTTTAGGATGTCCCCGAAGTGACTTCATGTACAACAATACAATCAGGAGAAGAAGAAAAACACATGGCTTTTTAACCTCAGAAGAGACTTACAAAAATATTTTCGTCCAGATCTCGGGGAGAATTTTTACCTCAGAAGAGGCCTTTTAGATTGATTCTACATGCAAAGCTTGGGCTTCCGTTGAGATTACATAAGGCCTTTGGTTTCGGAAGCCCAGCATAAATAATAGATACTATCATTATATTTTCCCGAAGAGGAAAATGTTTGCCTCGGGGGGGGGGGGACCCTTTACCACTCTTTCTTTCCTCTCAGTTACCTAAAAAGAACCTTCAAGGAGAAAGTCTTGTAAGGAGAAACAAAGAAAGTAGAAAGAAAGAGAGCTCATGAGCTCCACTGGAAATTCTGCCCAAAACAATGGAAAAACATAAGAACATGCCAATGTTGGATCAGGCCAAAGGCCCATCCAGTCCAACACTCTATATCGCACAGTGGCCAGAAATACCAGGGGGCCCTCAGGAGGTCCACCAGTGGGGCCAGGACATTAGAAGCCCTCCCACTGTTGACCCCACCCCCCCAAGCACCAAGATGACAGAGCATCACTTGCCCCAGAGTCCCTATCTATACCTTGTGGCTAATAGCCACTGATGGACCTCTGCTCCATATGCTTATCCAATTCCCTTTCGAAGCCGTCCATGCTTTTAGCCGTCACCACTTCCTGTGGCAGTGAATTCCAAGTGTTAATCACTCTTTGGGTGAAGAAGTACTTCCTTTTATCTGTTCTGACCCGACTGCTCAGCAATTTCATGGAGTGCCCACGAGTTCTTGTATTGTGAGAAAGGGAGAAAAGTACCTCTTTCTCTACCTGCTCTTTCCCATGCATAATCTTATAAACCTCAATCATGTCACCCCTCAGTCGTCGTTTCTCCAAGCTAAAGAGCCCTAAGCGCTTTAATCTTTCCTCATAGGGAAAGTGTTCCAACCCTTTTATCATTCGAGTTGCACTTTTCTGCACTTTTCCCAAAGCTATAATATCCTTTTTAAGGTGTGGTGACCAGAACTGCACACAGTATTCCAAATGAGGTCTCACCATTGATTTATATAGGGGCATTATGATATTGGCTGATCTGTTTTCAATACCCTTCCTAATAATCCCCAGCATAGCACTGGCCTTCTTTATTGCAGTCACACAGTGTCTCGACATTTTCAGTGAGTTATCCACTACGACTCCAAGATCTCTCTCTTGGTCAGTCTCTGCCAGTTCAGACCCCATCAAAGTGTATTTATAGTTAGGATTTTTGGCTCCAATGTGCATCACCTTGCACTTGGCCACATTGAACCCCATTTGCCATGTTGACACCCACTCGCCCATCCTTGACAGATCCCTTTGGAGTGCCTCACAATCCTCACATGAGGAGCCTAGGGGTTAAAAATCTCGTTTTCTGTCAGGAAATCCTACGAGGAAAGATCCATAAAAGAGGTGAAGAGGGGTTGATTCTGGGTAACTGTTTGGAATACTGATGCCAACCTCCCGGTGGGACCTGAGGAGTGAGGAGGATCCGCAGGAATTACAGCTCCTCTCCAGTCTCCAGTGATCAGTTCCCCTGGAGAAAAAGGCTGCTATGGGGGGTGGACTCAATGGGATTGCACCCCACTGAGGTCCCCAGACGCCATCCTCAAAACTCCAGGAGTTTCCCAACCTGGATCTGGCAACTCTACCCTCCACCCCATTCTGGTGGCCAAGGGGGACCTGGAAACCCTAGTTGGGAATTTGGAGCTGATCAGAGGTTAAGACGCTGAGCTGCACACCAGAAGGTCTGCCTTCGGCCAGGAGGGCAGGATAAAAATGAAATAAATAAATAAATAAATAAATAAATAAATAGTTTGGCAGTTCGAGACCCGAGTGCCGGGTGACGGAGTGAGCTCCCGTCTCTGGCCCCAGCTCCTGCCAGCCTAGCAGGTTGAAAGCAAGAAACTGCAAGTAGATAAAGAGGTGCCGCTTCGGTGGGAAGGGAACAGCGTTTCGTGCACCTTGGCATTTAGTCATGCCAGCCACATGACCACGGAGACGTCTTCGGACAGCGCTGGCTCTTCAGCTTGGAAACGGAGATGAGCACCGCCCTCTAGAGTCGGATTGGAGCAAGGGAAACCTTTACCTTTATAACAGTCTGGTGGGAATGGAAGCCCAGAGGCCCTTCTCAGGTGCGACCGGGCCTTCCCGTCACCAAGTCCTCATTTGCGTTGAAACGGTTTTTGCTGATAACAACTTCTCATAGCGAAGTGGGTATTGGATGCATGAAGCTGCCTTATGCTGAATGTAGGGTTGCCAGCCTCCAGGTGGGGCCTGGAGATCTCCCACTCTTACAATTGGTCAGACATCAGTTCCCCTGGAGAAGCTGTCTGCTTTGGAGGGTGGACTCTATGGCTCCCTCCCCTCCCCAAACCCCACCTTACAAGCTCCTTTCCCTTCCCCTCCCCACAACAGACACCCTGTGAGGTAGGTGGGGCTGAGAGAGGAATATAATAAACGAACTATATAGACTGTCAATATAACTGGAGACATTAGAGACATTTTACATGATTATATACAGGCTTTATAGACAAAATATCTTGGTTTTCACATGTATTCAACATATAACTGGATATTGTAAGAAGTAATTCAGCAGGTACTATGAAGATGCAAGAGATCCCCCCCAGTCTGTATGTATTTTGTGTTTGTGTGTTATGTATGTTTTGTATGTGTGTTTGAGTTACAATAAAAATTAAACTTTCATTTTAAAAAAAGACACCCTGTGAGGTAGGTGGGGCTGAGAGAGCTCTCTCGAGGACTGCTCCAGAGAGAACAGCTCTGAGAGAACTTGTGACTGATCCAAGGTCACACCAGCAGCTGCAAGTGGAGGAGTGGGGAATGAAACCTGGTTCTCCCAGATTAGAGTCCGCGCACCTAACCACTACACCAAACTGGCTGGGGATTCCTGTCCTCATGCCTAACAAATTCATTGCTGCGCAACAGTCAAGGGTTCAAGCCCATGAAATCTTAGGCGACAATAATTGTGTTTGTCCTTGAGGGGCAACAGGATTCTTCCTTTGCTTTCTCGCTGCAGCGGACTAACGCAGCCACTCGACTGGAAGTTAGTAAAACACCTTCTGGGGCTTTCTGTCCTTCAAAGGAAGCAAACTCTTTGAAAAGCTGCCTGACCTTCCCACCAGTGTGAAAAGCCACGGAGCATTAGTACTGTGGCTGCCATACAGCTAACATTGAGGACTAGTGTGCTGCAGTACAGAGGCTGGGTTCTGGAGGCTCGGCTTCAAAGCCCTGCTCAGCTTTAAAGCTTGCTAGGAGAATATGACCAAGTGCTTATCATACACATGGCCTTGACAAAGCTTGAAAGAAACTGGAAATGATACATAATAATGACCAAGTCGACGTGTCCTATCTTGTGGTCACAACGGATCACAAAAACAACGGTTTTGTTAATACAAATCCATGTCCCTTCTGGAACGGCTGGAAAATAACAGAACGATACATCCGGGGCGATCCAGGTTAAAACCCACCATCAGTCTCAACGGAATCTCTTCTTTATCTCCATGGGTAGACCAAAAGATGATGGCAGATCAACAGATATTAGATCAAAGTGGTCCGTGTCAGCCTCAGAGTAAAATTGTCTCCTTTTCTGTCATCGAGGAGGCTTTCGTGAAGCTCCTGCGTGCGAGAGACGAATGGACAGTGTCCTCACTCAAGGCATTGACCATCCTGGACAGGAGGGTCATCTTAAACTTTTTAAAATCCTGGCCCATGAAGACATAAAGTATGGGGTTCATGCAACTGTTAGCAACGGCAATCGCGGTCACGATCGGCAGCCCAATCTCTAACACGGGGCCTAGGACCCAGCGGTGTTGTGTCTCCAGCAGGTTGAAGATATGGTAGGGACACCAGCACAAGAAGAAGGTCATTATAATAGCAATAATTATTCTCAAAGGTCTTTTGGACTTAGCGAGGCGGTTCCTTCTGAGCCGGAAGATAATGATCATGTAACAAACGGTGATGATAGCCATTGGCATGACGAACCCCGCCAGGAACCTCGTGACATTTACCGTTACGTGTCTCATGTCGTGTACGGAGCGATCATGCAGAGAGTTGGGCAAATAATAATTGTTGAAACAAACCACATTTCCTGTGTAGCGATGCGTTTCAGTGTCCCGAAAAACCAGGGAAGGGGAACTCATTAAGATGCCCAGTGTCCAGATAAGGGGACACAACGAGTATGCGATTTTCGGACTGCGGTGGTTTTGGGACCAGACTGGGAAGACTACTGAGATGCAGCGGTCGATGCTGATGGTCGCCAAGGAGAACACGCTGGTGTACATGTTAAGAATGAGAAGGAAGGAGTTGACTTTGCACATGCCCTTGCCAAACACCCAGTTGTAGCCCAAGGCTGTGTAGCTGATTGTCAGTGGCAGGAAGACGTTGAACAAGAAGTCCGCGACAGCCAGGTTGAGGAACCAGATCGCGTTGACGGACTTCTTCATCTTGAACACGATGATTCCGATCACCACCCCGTTGCCCACTAAGCCCAGGAGGCAAGTGATGCTGTAGATGAAAACGGTGAGGATCCGAGCAATGGCCCTCGTGTCGTACGTCGATTCCTTGTTAGAGAGCTCTTCCGTGATGACATAATTGTGATCAAAGCCATAATAGTCGTAGTCGGTCAAATTATTCGGACTCATTGTCGTGAAGAGTACAGCAATGGCCTGCAATTAGAGCAAGGGACGGTTAGCAAGAACTTTGTCGATGCACAAGACTTAACACATAAAAGTCAGTCGAATCAGGTATGAGCTGCCTTTATTATTTGCTTCTCTGCAAGGAATCAAAGAAATGCTCAACCTATGTACAATACTAACTTAAACATATTACATTTAGGATTTTAAGGCTGTGCGTTGCCTTGGGTGCCTTCAGACAGAGAGGGGGTCTTAAGACTATGAATGAATAAACTGTATCCAAAGTTACACAAAACCAATTCAATAAATACCTATTGTTTTGTTATTTATAGCTCACCTCTTCACAGAGACTCAAGGTAGACTACATAGCGTAAGCCAAGCACAATCAACAGGGTGGGCAATGGTTTTTGAATCCAACTGCCCTTTTTCTTCCTTTCCCCCTCTTTTATAATAAACCTCTTTTATAAAGACTCTTTTATTTGACTTTGCTTGGGAGAATTTATTTCTCTGGGATATTTCTCTGAATCTCTTCCCTGTGTGTTAGAAGAAGAAGAAGAGATTGGATTGTGGGGGGGGGGGAAGGGAAGGAGTTTGTAAGCTGATGGACCTCCTGATGGCACCTGGTATTTCTGGCCACTGTGTGACACAGAGTGTTGGACTGGATGGGCCTTTGGCCTGATCCAACATTGGCATCTCTTATGTTCTTATAGGAACTCTCGGTCTGGGGCAAGGGATGCTCTGTCTTCTGCTGGGGGGGGGGCAAGAGTGGGAGGGCTCCTAGTGTCCTGGCCCCACTGCTGGACCTCCTGATGGCACCTGGTATTTCTGGCCCCTGTGTGATACAGAGTGTTGGGCTGGATGGGCCTTTGGCCTGATCCAACATTGGCTTCTCTTATGTTCTTATGTTCTCTTATGTTCACTCTGGGACTTCAAGTGAAGGGCGGGGTATAAATCCAACTCCTCCTCTTTTTCTTCTTTGAATCATAGTGTTGGAAGGGACCTCCAGCGTCATCTAGTCCAACACCCCCCCGTCCAAAATCTGGACAAGACCAAAGACACTGACCAAGAGGTTTCCTCCCATGAAAGGGGTGGGGTGGGGGCTGGTGTGAGTTTCCAAGAGAATGCCACTGGACAGCTGGTGGAGTGTAGCCATGGGAAATCTGTACTAGAACTGGGGAGATGTGGGTTCAAACTCTTCCCCCCCCCAGCTCTCTGCAGGACCTTGAGCCAGGCATTCCGAGACGGATCTACCTCGTGAGGGTGTTGTGAGTAAAAAGGGGGAGGGCTGTATGTTTCCCTGAGCTGAGAGTGGGATGAAAACCTTATTTTATTGCAGCCCTCAGCTTGTCAGGCCCGAGCACGGCTGCTAACGAGAGGACGTTTGGGGGGGACATGAATTCAGAGGGTCGCCATTAAGGTGGAGGCAACTTGCCGGCTCTTCGCACACAGTTATATAACCATCGCTACCAGTGGGTGGCGCTGTTGCACATCGGAGGGGTTGGGTTGGTTCTGTATTGATTGGCGCTGCGGTGGCTCAAGTGGTTAAGACGCTGAACTGCAGGCTGTGGAAGGTCGGTAGTTCAGCAGTTCGAGACCCGAGTGTGCCGCATGACGGAGTGAGCTCCCGTCTCTACTTCCAGCTCCTGCCAACCTAGCCGTTCGAAAGCAAGAAATTGCAAGTAGATAAATAGGTACCACTTTGGTGGGAAGGTACCAGCGTTCCGTGCGCCTTGGTGTTTACTCATGCCGGCCACATGACCATGGAAAGGTCTTCAGACAGCGCTGGCTCTTCGGCTTTGAAACGGAGATGAGCACCGCAACCCTAGGGTCGGACTCGACTGGCTTTCGAGCAAGGGAACCTTTACCTTTTTTACCAGTGGGTGGCGCTGTTGCACATTGGAGCGTTTGGGTTGGTTCTTTATTGATTCTACCTTTTGTTCCATGGAAGTTGCCTCTGGCACTGTTCCCTGTTTTTAAGGTCTGTGCTGCAAACCACTTGCAAAACTTACTAGTGCGTTACAGTTGCATTTGACATCTCACCTGTTGTGCCATTTGCATTCTCAGAAGGGATCCCAGCTGGACACCGAACAAGGTTTCTGCACCATCGGCCTCCTGACCTTAGTCAGGGACCCCGTAACCACACCTTGGGATACTCTGTGGCCACAGGTTAGCATCCCTCTAGAGCGAACAAGGGGCCGGGACTGTGGTTGATGACTTCATGAATGTGTGGACAAAGGGGGCAGACAGAAACGTCTCTCCCTCTCCCTTCACAGGAGAATTCAGGGTGACCGAAGAGAGCTGATGGCCAGGAAATGCAGGGCAGGCAAAGGAAATCCTTCTTTCTGGGCTGGTTCCTCAGCATGAAAGCACAGCACAGATATCAAGGCCACGGACCCCTTCCAAGTTCCTGCATGCCAACCCTACACTGAAGAAGAAGAAGAAGAAGAAGAAGAAGAAGAAGAAGAAGAAGAAGAAGAAGAAGAAGAAGAAGAAGAAGAAGAAGAAGAAGAAGAAGAAGAAGAAGAAAAGATAGGGACTCTGGGGTAAGAGATGCTCTGTATTCTTGGTGCTTGGGAGGGTCAACAGTGGGAGGGCTTCTAGTGTCCTGGCTCCACTGGTGGACCTCCTGGTGGCACCTGGTCTTTTCGGCCACTGTGTGACAGAGTAGCCACCCCACCCCCCCGGCAGTGAATTCCGTGTGTTAATCACCCTTTGGGTGAAGAGGAACTTCCTTTTATCCGTTCTAACCTGACTGCTCAGCAATTTCATGGAGTGCCCACTGAGTTCTTGCATTGTGAGAAAGGGAGAAAGGACTTCTTTCTCGACCTGCTCTATCCCATGCATAATCTTATAAACCTCGATCATGTCACCCCTCGGCCGTCATTTCTCCAAGCTAAAGCTTTTCTCCCTTCCCTGTATCTCCCTGCTAATGAGTGGGTGTCGTTTTGCACACTCCCATCTCTGCTGTACGAAACAATAGAGTTTTTGTAAATGTTAGTGCAAATAAAGCCGTCACGTCCGGGTTTTGCTGGAAAGGACAGCAGTGTGCCAGGCCCCGTCGCCCTCCCATTCCTCCCAGGGATTGCCGTCTGGATGGCAACCGATTTCCTTACAGAAGAAAGTGCGACTGTGCGTTAAAGAGGGGAAATGCTCAAAGGAAAGGGCCAGGGCCCATCACTCTCCTTTCCTTCAACCAGAAGGTCAATCGCAAGCAGCTTCAAATGTTGCAGTCGCTGCTGCCGACTTACTGCTCCCGTGACCCTGTCCCCCACCCCACCCCCAAACGCACATGCTGTCAGCACATTTGTTAAAACACCAGACAGGATGTCTTGATTTAGAAGCCTCCCACTTCCTGACTAAGCCTCTGCCAACATCTGGCCACCAGAGTGGTTGGCCACCAAGCATGCAAAAGCCTTCTGTTTTTCAAAGAGCCACCCAACTCAGCCCCCCTTCCAGTGCCATTCATAGCTAGTGCTCTGGACAGAACACCCTGGAACAACTGGGGTAGGCGGCAGGGCAGGCCCATGTTGTGGTGCCCGAAATCACCCCAGAGTGGCTTTGTAATGGAGGGTTACTTTGGGGTCTGGGTCAGCAGGCGTCTCAGCTCGAGCAGGGAAGGTCCACCTTGAACTTAGTCATCTTGTCTACCAAAGTCAAAGGCTAAATTAAAAAGTGCAGGGAAGGTCCGCCTTTAACGGAGTCGTCTTCCACATTAAAAATAGCATAAGGTTTCCCTTGCTCGAAAGCCAGTCGGATACAACTCTAGGGGTGCAGTGCTCATACAAACTGGTGAGAGCCAGTTTGGTGTGTGAGAGCCAGTTTGTTGTAGTGGACTCTAATCTGGGAGAACCAGGTTTGATTCCCCACTCCTCCACTTGCACCTGGCTGGATGACCTTGGGCAAGCCGTAATTCTGATAAGAGAACTGGATTTGAGTCCCCCCACTCCTCCACTCGCACCTGCTGGATGACCTTGAGCAATCCATAGTTCTGTCCAGCGTTCCCTCTAAGCCGAGTTAGTGTGAGCTAGCTCACAGTTTTTTAGCCTCCAGCTCACAGATTTTTGTCTTAGCTCAGGGAGGAGGGCTTCCCAGCAAACTAACTTATGCAGCAGCCCAATCGCTCGCTCACAACTTTAATGCCAGTTGCTCAAAAAGTAGAATTTTTGCTCACAAGACTCCACAGCTTAGAGGGAACATTGGTTCTGTCAGAGCTGTTCTCTCAAGGGCAGTCCTCCGGAGAGCTCTCTCAGCCCCGCCTACCTCACAGGGTGTCTGTTGTGGGGAGGGGAAGGGAAAGGAGTTTGTAAGCCACTCTGAGACTCCGAGTGAAGGGCAGGGGGGTATAAATCCAGTCTCCTCCTCCTTCTCTCTGGTAATGCCCCCTGAAGAGTGTTACGCTCAGCTGATAAGAACCTGCTGGTGGTCGCCAGCCCCAGAGACCTCCACCGGTCACCGGCCCTGGCCCCAACCTGGTGGAACTCTCTGCCAAATAACATCTGTGCCCTGCGGGACTTCATGCAGTTCCACAGGGCATGTGAGGCAGAGATGTTCTGCTAGGCATTCGGTTGAGGAAGCCATGGTTTCCCATCCAGCTGGCACTCCTGTTCTTCCTGCCTCCCCCGCCCCCATGAGGCAGTGGCACACGCTGGTGGTTCCATCGCCATCTGATTAGTCACAGGTTATTGTGGCTGCATAATGCATTCTGATTTTTCAATATTTTATGTAATTACTTATACTGATGTACACCTACGAACATAAGTGAAGCCAGTGTTGGATCAGGCCAATGGCCCCTCCAGTCCAACACTCTGTCACACAGTGGCCAGAAATACCAGTGCCATCAGGAGGTCCACCAGTGGGGCCAGGACACTAGAAGCCCTCCCACTGTTTCCCCCACCCCCAAGCACCAAGAATACAGATCATGACTTGCCCCAGACTGAAAGTTCATATAAGAACATAAGAGAAGCCAACGTTGGATCAGGCCAGTGGCCCATGCAGTCCAACACTCTGTGTCACACAGTGGCCAGAAATGCCAG